AACTTGACATTCCATCAAGTGTCATAGATTTTTTTTATTCTTATTTTGTATTCTACATATTTGACATATGCAGAAAAATTTTCATTAAATAACATTTTATAAATAAATATTTAAGTAGTTATATTTTTATTGTTTGTTGAAACTCTAAAGCAATACATTAGTTCATTGTAAATATTAGGGAAATCAAAAAAGGCAAATTGTATTAATGCGGGATATCTCTTTTCCTTGTTTCTTTTCTTCATATTTCCAACTGATTCATTACAGTATTCAAAATACGGGAAAATTCTCACCGTTTATAATTAATTACTCTAAATCCAACCAATTACAATCGTTACGATTTACATATAAATATTGCTAATTTGCGTGGCTTTATAATTATTATTATTTTTTTTGTTTAAATAAAAAAGAAGAAAAATAAGATAAGGTTTCGTTATTTATACTTGGTTTAACAAATCTAATTTAATCCTTTTATATTTATTTAAAATTTTAACTGCAACGACGCAAATTTCTTCGCCAACACATTTCCTTATATTTCCAATATCAAATATACCATCGTTCCAAATCGTCTTGTAAACCGAACCAAATCTACCTTTTCTTACTTTTGAATTTTCCTAACTTGATAAAGAATTTAATTGTATCCTTTTAATTAATTGGTCAACGTTCTTATTTTCGCTCTCGACCAGAATTACACGGCTTAAATGGATCTGGATTGATGACATTCTTGACAATTATTCTATTAAAATCTTTATTTTATGTTTATTTTTTTAATTTGTTATTATTATGATTATTATTATTGGTGTTTGCTTTTTTAAGTTCGTTTTTTTTTTAAAAAAAAAGGATGAAGGAATACTACATATAAAATTTTTTTCATTTGTCGATGGCTATTTTTAAATTTGTTTTGTGACATGGTATTCTATTCTAAATTTAGATTCACCTTGGCCGGATCTTATGAAAACCGTAATACAGCGAATTAAATTTTGCTCGGAGTTTATTGTATGTGAGAAGAAATTCTTGATTACGGAGTATATGATCCTAAGAATGAATTTATTAACCACAAAAAGCGAAAAAAGGTTTGTTCATATTTTTTATTGCATTGTATGTTAGGTTAGATTGGGTTGACTCAGATTAAAAAAGAAAAATTTAAAATTGGTAAAGGGTTTCTAATTATGACCCTAAATATAAAAAGGCTTAAATTCATTCGATCGCTATGGGTTCAAACGATCCCAAAAAACGGAGACGACTTATAAAAATCAATTACAGCCGGAAAAAAAAATAATATTTTTACAGGATTTTTTTATTAGTGCAACACATGCACCATTTAAACATGTACTTGTCCGCGATTGAATTTTAAATTAATAATTTAAATTTATCATTTTTCAAATGTATTTGCAAAAACCTAATTTAGAATAAAATGATGATAACCGAGATAGCAATGAAATCACACTTTTTTCAAGGAGATCATTGGTGATCCTAATTGGCGCAGTCATTTAGTGGCGCATACGGATTATAACTAACAACAGATATAAAAAATCACAAATTTTTTTCGAGATAAATAACTCGTCTCACTAAACATTGTACACACATTCGGCATTCACTTTATCAAATTGAAGCGTTTGTCTCCTGATCATTTCGAATTTATGGTTAGATCGAAATCGCAAACTATTCCGACAAAAATGCGCTATTCCTGAAAAAAGGGTTTTTTTTTAATCTATTGAATTTCTTATTCGTTTATAAAATTTTAAAATAATGGCATTGAACTTTGCGATTTCATCTGGGTCAACATTTTCACTGCACTTACAGCACTTGTAATGTACAATGTCAAGTATTACTATTCATGGTATACACGAACGAGAGAATCTAATTCCTGGACCATTTCCTTTACCTTTAATAGGAAATTTACACCAGTTCGGACTGGATATGGGGAAAGGAGCGCTCAAATAACAAAAGGAGTTTGGTGACATGTTTGAAATATATTCGGAATTTACGGAGAAAATTCATAATCTGATGTTAAAGAATAATGAATTCTCCCTTCACACCCTCTAACCCAGGATTGGAAGAACTTCGTTTGACAGATTCCGGTATAGGGATTTGAACGCTTGGAAATTATTATTTAAAGAAATAAATTTATTTTGACACTGTAAAAATGGAAATTGATTCATACTAATTGTTATGTAACAAAAAAAAATAAATATTTATATATATACGGGAATTTCTAAATATTATGTGAATCGAGATTTTGATTAGGTAAATAAACACTACATTTGTGTGTGGTAAAGGCACACAAATTCATAAAATTACAAAAATCCCCACTTTTCATTATTAATGACAATTTTAACAATTGAAAATAAAAGAAGGAGGTGGTCGTCCAAGAAAAGATCACCGGGAAATCTCTTTCAAGAACAGCTCCGATATAATAATTGGAAAATAAAACAGCCTTCCAACTCTTCCGAAATACAGTTAAGCAGGAAAAAACTTTTAAATTTATGTCTCATTCCAGAGATGATTGGCGGCATCAGCGATCCAATACAAACCGTTCATGCCAATGAGTTTCTCCATAAAATAATCCGGGAATCATGGATTGGCCTAAACAGTCCTGACTTAAAATCCAATGGAAAATCTATAAGGCAATTGTTAAGGGCAATGTATGCCAAAAAAATTTCACGGAGGATTCGAATACATTTTCAGAAACTATTTTATTGAATCTTGCGGTTGACGAAGTGAAGTTGTGAGCTTTTATAGGTAATAGCAAAGAAAACTCTATTATTTTATATTAAAAAATCTGCCAATTTTCAGCAATGACAGTTTTTAATATTGTGTTTTTTTTTATAAATATAACGAAACTGCCGTCCTTGCGTTTCTAAATTAATTTTAACACTTGGTCAAGAAAACCACAGCATCTCTTGAAATTTGAGTATGCTAAACATCCAAGTGTCAAATCTTAGTTTTGAGTCAATCATATTTAAGAGAAGGGACATTGCTTAAATAAATTAGGAAGTTGTAAAAACTTTTTAAATGTTCATTGAATCGGAGAAATTTAAATAGTATGAAAATATTTAAAAGTCATTTATCCTTACTTTTTGTTTAAGACTAGGGCATTTAATTGATGAAAATAATCATGATTGATTTGGTCGGTCTCTCACTCACATGATCGATTAAAAATCGAATTACAGTACGTGTGAAATCGAATGCATTGTAATGGATCATCTCGCTGATGGAAATAAAAAGTTTATTGTTTCTATCATAACATTGAGTTTCTTGAATTGGAAAAAATCGCGTTAGGCTGTCGGAATAGATTTTGTTAAATCTATTGACATAAGGTTGCCGGGAAAAACCCCGAGGTTTCGACAGGCATCGAAATCGAAACCCATCGAAACGTTTTGCCAAATTTTCTTATTAAAGGCAAAATTGCGAAAGTTTCGACAGGTGGCAAAAGTTTCGACAATGGCATTATTAAAATACTTTAAAAATTTATTTTGATTTTGCGAGTTGGGTTTAATTAGAAATGTGTTCCATAATACTTCTATCGGTATTGTCGGATCAGCTTGTCGGGAGTGGTCGGTTCATCAAAAGGAGTTTTAGCGATTTCTTAATATTTGTCAAATCATCAAATTTTTTGACGGAATCCACCAATAGGAAGATGATGAATCGATTTTGGTGTTACCATGAAATATATAACAAATTTTCAACTCTTTGAATGAATTCTTCGAATTCTCTCAATATCATCAGTATAAAGTTTTTAGACCATATCAAAATTTGTTTAAAAAATGACGGAGTCATAACTATACGTATAAAAAAATTTTTTTTAAGTATTCCTACGAAGCATAGTTTTTATTAAATGATATCCCTCTTGGTGAACAACCATATTCATCTAATCCATCATTCATGGACGAACGATTAATAAAAATTACTCTCTTTCTCATTTGTTGAATAAATCTTTTCTAATATATCCATTCTATCTATTCAAACTTCTCTCGTCTTATCACTTGATGTCCAAAAATAATTCCCAATTATTACAATATTTCTTTTGACATTCTCTACAAAATAATGATATGTCTTCACTAAGTTGATATTGGTTCCTGATAAATGGACCGGGAATTGGGTAAATACTTAAAAAAATAATATATTACATATGTGAAAATTTTTGATTTTGAATATTTTGTATTAAAAATATTGTTTATAAGGAATATTTTTAATTTTATTTATTTTTTTTTAAAAAAAAATAAAGATGACACCCATATTTTTATATTGCGGCTTGCCCCATGCTAAGCATTAAAAAAAAATTTCATTATTTGGAATTTTTTTAACTAAATCAACATTATAATTTTTGATAGATTAAAATGTCGGAGCAATAATCCCATATAATGATCTATGCATTAGTCTATGTGAGATAGTATATATTCGCGTCCTTTTTAAGAATTCGCAAAGATGTATCGAAACTGTCGACTTTTCCAAAATGGGTTTAGGGTTTTGCTCCGCAACTATACAGAAGAGTCTTCTGTATTCATCCAATTTAAATTCTTTTTTTTTTTCACAATAGCAAAATAATTAATACGCATAAAATACTCTTAATAAATACACGAGATTCAAATAAATTCTTGTCTTGTTTACCAGTATTGAAATTCCAATTCCTGTTTGTAGTCCTAAAGGTGCTAGCCGAGATAGCTTATTCACAAAAAATTCGAGGGAAGGTCCTATACATTCCGTTAGGTATATTGAAATTTGAATCAAGCATTTGGATTGTGACCGATTTATGGTATGGTCATCTCCAAGAATGCATTCGATAAAACGATCTCGTTTTTGAAAAAAATCGTAATGCTTGCAAGATCATTATTTGGAAGATCTGTGGAAAGTTTTTATACAATACTAGTTAGTTAATAAAGAAATAAAAAAATGAGGATTGAAAAATTAATATTGTGCAAATAGCGATAATTCAAAAAAAATGTTACTAAATTAGTTAAAAGACGCACGTGTACAAGACTGAGATATTAAAACCATGTGATTGGCTAAAAAACTATGCCTTGAGAAATGTTGTTAGGTCATTATTCGAATGGTGCGTAACTTTGTTTGTTCTTGATACCTTATGTCAGAAGAACGTTTTCTTCTTTTTCAACCATCGATTAATTAATATACCCATTTGCCTAATACTGTAATAATTAATTTTTTTTTTTTTTTCAGAAGAAACCATGGGAGGCAAATTTTGCTATATTGGTCTGCCATGAATGAAAAATTCTTTTTTTTTGCCGTAAACATGCTTTTCCGTTGTTAAGCCTAAACACTACGTCATTAGGATAACAAAGCTTATTTGCTAACAGTGAGTTTAAGTTGTAAACTATGAAAGAAATAAACACGAATTTATTTAAGTTGAAGGGTCAGGTCGTCTTTATTGATGATTTATGTTTTAAGGAAATAGATATTTACAAAGATAAAGTTTTTATGTTTGTTAAGATTATACTTTATTAATTGTACGATAGAAACTTGTTAGTTTGTCAGGGCGACAATACAGGATATTTATATAAAATACAATTATAAGAAAGAGTAATAAATATAATAATGAAAGTAAATATAATAAAGAAAATAATGATAAACGTAGATCACGATTTTCCTAGTGATCATTGGTGGTATTAACTGGCGCAGTCATTTAGTGACGCAAACGGATTATCACTAACACCGTTTAAAATAAAATTTCGATTTTGGAGGAAATATTAATAAATAATTTCGGTGTCGTTTATCTTGAGCATAGTATATTAAATTACACGGAAAAAAATTATGTTGAGTTTATTTTTCTTATTTTTCTTTTCTTTTTTTTTAAAAAAAAAAAAAAATCTCACAAAGTGATACCTATACAAAAAAAGGAATGATCATACAAAAAAAACTAGATATTATCTAACTTACAAATTAGTGAGAGGAAAAAGAGGAAGCGTAGTAGAACGGCAAAAATTGCGTAAGACTAGGCCGGCAAAAGGTTCGTACGATATCCCTCTCTATAGTATATATTCCATTTGAAGGAAAAATGACAAGAAAAAATCTCAACTTCTCAGTTGTGGCTATTCCATAAGGACCTTATAATTTCTCCGGCTTTGCCTAAATTCTTACTTTAGGATTTGTAAACGTTCGAAAATAATTATCTCGATACCTATGGAAACGGTAAGTAGAAACTGCAGTTAATTTATCTTGCATGCAAGTTGACAAAGTATTCAGCTATCTGGTCCAGTACGGCCGATGAAGTTGTAGCTGTTATTGACTGTTTTTTAATTGCTTATTTGCTGGGCTGGTGAGATTCTTCGTTCTGGTTGCAGAGATTAGTTTGACGGCGAGAAAAGTAAAAGTTCCTTTGAGCTTTGCCCATAATGAAAATTGGTAAATATAGTTAAAAATTGACAATAAAAAAGTGAAAATATAGTAATAAACTCAGCAGTTTATTTAGTGAAAATAAATTAGAATAATAAAATTTAAAAATCAAAAAACTACATATACTGATTATTGTTAAAAATAAAAATAGTATAAATTAATAATCGAAAAAAAATTAATAAAAAAATTCCATAACCAAAAAAAAATAAAACCTAAAAAAAATTAAGATAATAAATAAGACAATAATATATAAATTTGATTAATAATTAAGAATAAATATAAAGAAAAATATGTTAGAATTAAAAATCGAAAAAAATCAAAAGCTAAGTTAAAAAAGTTTTTATTCTAACTGAGCAAAAAATAAAAGATTATTACCTACGAAAAAAAAAGCAAATTGAAGAAAGAATACAACCGTTTAGAACCAAAAAATGCATCTATTTTTAAAACCACGTTTCATCCAACGTTGCCATAACTTTATTGGTTTTACTGGAACATTTGGGATGTTTGCTATTAAAATCGAGTTACGAACATAGTAAATCATATGATCCGTAACGTTATTTTAATAGCTTACCTCCCATTTGTTGCTTTATTAAAAAAAATGTATTAATTAATGTTTAAATAATCGATAGTTTTTTTTGTAATTGCAAGATATTCTCTAGCCATTATGGATAAATGTGGATATTCAGTTTCATGTAATTATATAATTAATTGATTACCGTAGCAAAATTTTTGCTTATTAATAATGGGATAATAATCGGTCATAATGTTTCATTTGATCGTGCAAGGATCCAAGAGAAATACCATTATAAAGCATCTGGTAATAAAAAAAATTTTTTTTTAATTCCCCTTATGTGTTATTGGTTACGAATGGGATTGAAAAAATTCTTAATGTTCTTGCATTCCATTCGCAAATAAACTTTCAAAAAGCTTAACCTTTTGCAAAATTTTAAGTTTTTTTTTTCCATTTAATGTTTGTTACTGCCACTCAGGCTTCTTCTATCCTTGGTGTTTCCTTGTGTACACTTTGTCGCTGACACCGCAACAGTAAAATAACAGCATTTCGTTCACCAGGTGGTGTGCGACTTTATGATGTCTCAAATATTGAGGATTCCACTACCACCACCACCACCTCCACCATCACCAAAAAAGGATTCCTCTATTCTCGGGTCTCTAGTGTTAAGCAAAAAGAGGACCTCAAATGGTAGAAACAACACCTCAGCTCCCGATTTCTAACCTATGAACTCATCAGTGATATCAGGTCAAGAATTAACTTCAAATACAAAGGATTGTAAACCCTACTGGAACAATCATGCGAAGGTCTTGTCAGAGAGATTGTGGCTACCCACCATGATCGATTATGCAGGTTCACCTACAAATTCCTTAAGCACGAATTCT